AGGCCTTTTTTAGTTTCACAATTAGAGTCTTTTCTAGCGTTTGAGTTTTTTTTTTTTAACATAAATTTATAAAAAGAAATATATATTTATGATGCTCTTATATTAAGTTTAAAAAACCCAAACAAGATTACCTTCTCTACACTTCATTTCTCTTGATCAAACAAACTCTAAGTTCAACCTCTCTCAGACACCTCTTGAGGTAATTTTATTTATTTTTAATGTTGTTAAAGACAACCTTAATGCAATTCTCCTTAATTTCCTCGCCTGTGAAGACAATTTCGACTTTCGAGGCTTCTGCTCGCCTCCAATAGAGACACACACCTAACCCTCTCCCTCAATAAAAATTAAAAATTATAAAAGCGTTTTTTTTTAACTTCAACCATTAATAGCATTTTTTATTTTACATGTATATAAAGAGATACAAGAATTAATATTAATTTTTTTATAAGTGTAAAGTAAATAATTTTAATTAAATAATTAATAAATTAAAAATTAAATTTTATTTTTAAAATATTTTTACCTTATACTTTAATATCACAAAACCCTAAAAATTAATAAGAGACGATTCCGTCATTGCACTAGTCATTTGACTGAGACAATCCACCATACCCTCTCCCTCTACAAAAATTAGTAAGAGGCGATTCCGTCGTTGCGATACTCATTTGACAAAGACAATCCACCATACCCTCTCCCTCTATAGAAATTAATAAGGGTCGATTCCGTCATTGCCATAGTCATTTGACAGCAACATTTTTATTATTTATTATAATTTATTTGTTTCTATATTTGCCAACAATTAACCTCCCCTAGATGTGTGAAAACATTTGGTAAACGTCAAATATCATCTAGCCTCGATTGGTATAGCAGTTTCAGAGTAATGGTTAGTGATTTTACTTAAATCGTTAAATATAAGTATTTGATAAATTTATATATTTTGGAATCGCTACATGTAAAGTGTTTGGTAAAATTTTTATTTAACGGTTTGAGACTAGCGGATAGCGATTATAGTTCAAACCGTTAGTGGATTGAAAAAACTAATTTATGTAACTTTTTGTACCAAATCGCTAGCGGATTAAAATTTTTTAATTTTATTGATCAATTTATCCATTTTAATTTTTTAATTTTTGGTCATATTTTT